ATACACATACCTGTGAAACCACTGCAACAATTAAGGCAATGAACAAACATATGTATCACCCCAAATGTTTCCTCCTGACCCTCTACAGTCCCTCCCTTGTGCACCTTCCATTACTCCCACCTCATCCTCATTCACTGATCTGCTTTCCGTCTCCATACATTCATTTCCGGCACATTTGTTAAGTCAATCTCTGTGTTCAAAGGTCACCTAGAATTCACATTTTAAGAATGAAATCATGTTCAAGATAGCCCATGAATAAATATCTAAAGGACATACCTAACCTTTCTGGTTTCATAATTTTACTGGTGATGTACGCACTTCTTATCCCCTCTTCTCTCTCCAATTTACTTCCTTATCTATAAGCCTTTGGGACCTTGACCTACCAGCTCATTTTCCCAGTTCTTTCTCTCTATCCAGTCCTCTAGTCTGTTTACCTCGACTTCTGTGTCAGGATATTCCTCTCCCCTTAAGGTATTCACTCTATTAATTCCTCTCTCTGAGTAAGGCTGACATTTCTCCACTGAATGAGGAGACTCCAACTCTTGCTAAGTTCTCTGCGCATGCCAGTAGTTCTCAATCTCAGTTGCACTTTCAAATCATCTAGAAATATTCTAATCTAACTGGTCTTCGATGGGGCTCACAAATTGGTATTTCTTTCTTTTTTCTGAGATTTTACTTTTTTTAATTTTTAATTCAGGATATTATGGGGGTACAAACATTTTGGTTATATGAAATGCATTTGCCTCGCTCAAGCCAGGGCCACAGCGTGTCCTTCCCCAATACAGTGCACCCCATCTCCATTAGCTGTGGGTTTACTCACCCCACCCGCTCTACCTGCCACCCCCTACTGCCCTACCTGACCGGCCCCCAGTGAGTATTACTACCATGTGAGCATCTTAGTGTTGATCAACTAGTACCAGTTTGATGGCGAATGCATGTGGTGCATGTTTTTCCATCCTTGTGATACCTCACTTCGAAGGATGGGCTCAATCTCTATCCAGAATAATGTAACAAGGGCTAGATCACCACTGTTTTTCGTAATTAAGTAGCATTCCATGGTATACATATACCACATTTTATTAATCCACTCATGTATTGATGGGCATTTGGGCTGTTTCCACATCTTTGAAATTGTAAATTGTGTTGCTATAAACATTCAAGTGCAGATTTCTTTATTACAGAATTTCTTTTCTTCCTTTGGATAGATGCCTAGTAGTGGGATTGCTGGATCAAATGGAATTTCTATTTTTAGTTCTTTGAGGTATCTCCAAATTACCTTCCACAGGGGTTGTACTAATTTGCAGTCCCACCAGCAGTGCTTAAGAGTGTTCCAATCTCTCCACATCCATGCCAGCATTTGTTGTTTTGGGACTTTTTGATAGAGGCCATTCTCACTGGAATTAAGTGATATTCTATTGTAGTTTTGATTTGCATTTCCCTGATGATAGATGTGGAGCACTTTTTTATATGTTTGCTGGCCATAATTATGTCTTCTTTTGAAAAGTTTGTGTCATGTCCTTTGCCCATTTATTGATGGGGTTGTTTGATTTTTTCTTGTTGATTTTCTAAAGTTCTATCTAGATTCTTATTATCAGCCCTTTATCGGATGTGTAGAAAGCAAATATTTTCTTCCATTCTGTAGGTTGTCTATTCACTCTAAAGACCGTTTCCATGCTGTGCAGAAAGTTTTTAATTTGATCAAGTCCCATTTGTTTATTTTTGTTGCTGCTATGATTGCTTTGGAGGTCTTCTTCATAAATTCTTTACCTAGGCTGATGTCTAAAACAGTCTTCCCCACATTTTCTTCCAAAATTCTTAAGGTTTCACGCCTTAGGTTTAAGTCTGTTATCCAATGTGAGTTGATTTTTGTGAGAGGTGAGAGGTGGGGATCCAGTTTCAATCTTCTGCATGTGGA